TGGGCCGGCGGTGGCGCCCTGGAAGGCAGGGGCAGCGCTAAGAGCAGCCGCGCCACCAGCGTTCTCACCTGGTCCATGCCCAGCGCCACGCAGCCAATGCCCGCACCTGCCGCGCCCGCAGCTGCACCGGGAACAAGCCTCTGTCTGCCGCCGCGCCAGCGCCCAGCCTGGAGGGCTACCGGAGGAGGCGGCCAGCGCGGCCAGGCAGCGATTGAGGGATGCGGCCACGCTGCAGCGCTGCGGGGCGGCAGGAGGGAGAGAGAGAGAGAAGGGCAGGGAGAAGACAGCCAGAGCTAGGCTCTCTCAGAGTCCCCCCACCCCAGCTCCAGGAGAGCCCTGGTGGGAGGGGGCCTGATGTCTTCCCCAGGTGGGACTGGGAGCTGGGGCCTCCCTCGCAGCAAGCAGGTGAGGTGGGAGGAGGGAAACCGAGGCAGGGAGGGCTGGCTGCCAGGCAGGGCAAATTAAGGAGCCTTAATGAGCCCGCCCACCTGGCCTGATCGAATCCATGAGCTCCAGCCCTAGGCCAGCCTCACGCAGGGCACATTACCAGCCCTGGAGGGGACTCGGGGCTGGAGGTGGGACTGAGTCCTGCGAGGGTGGGAGTCAGCTGTCCAGTAGGAGTAGCCAAATGGGGCCCAAAAGTGCTGCCCTGGTTATAAGCCCCGCCTGCACCACTCCCCCCCATCATACCCCAGGGCCTTTGCACCTGCTCACCCCCCCTTCTTCAAACCCCCACCCCAACTCTTCCTCCTCCAGCCCAGGCTGGGGCGTGGGGTTCAAATCCCACCCACAACTCTCTTTTTAATACCAACTCCCGAATTAACAAATCTGCTTTAGAGCAGTATTGGCCATGGAGGAAGGGCTACCCTGGTGGCAACTGAAGCCATGGGCTATTTACTGAGGGCCAACTGTATGCAGGGACCCTGGGGCACAACAGTGCACAAGACAAAGAGAGTCCCTGGAGAAGTCATTGGGTTCCAAAGCAAAGTAAGGGGTTGTGAGCTGTGATGGTGGGAAGCCGCGCATGGGGTGGGAGGTGCAGCACGTGGCTGTAGTCGCGCCAACCTGAGGGCCGGGCCAGTGGGATTTCAGATCAGCCACGTGAGAAGAGGGGCACAGGTGAACCCCCCAAGCTGAAGGGAGTGGCTTTTCCAAGGGGCTCTGAGCCAACTTTATCAGCTTCCCTCACAGACACAGTGAGTGGGGAGGACTTCGAAAGCGTGGGAGACTGGAGTCAGACCCTGGGAAGAACTGGCAGACAGAAAGCAGGTATGGGGTGCGCATTTATCCTGAGGCTGGAACCCCCTCTACCCCTACCCCGAGACCACCGCCCCCCCCCCTTGTGTGGAGCCTGGAGAAACTGCAGGGCATTGGAGTTTAGGGCCGCACTGCTTGGACTGTGTCTGCCCTGGGCCAGGCTGGGGCTTCTGGGGAGGGAACAAGAGTGGGGTCCCCATGGGCTCAGCCTGCCAGGCTCCTGCCTTAAGCAAACAGAGGCAGGGGTGGGAGCAACAGAAACCAAATAAATGTGTGTATGTGCGTGTGTGTTTGTGCATGTGTGTGCATGTATGTTTGTGTCTGTGTGTGTGTCTGTTTATTTCTTCAGGACGCAGTGGCCAGGCCTGGGCAGGGGGACCGGGCCCTGGCCACAGCTGTAATTGGATTCCTGCGCCAGTACAGGGTGCAATGGCCCTGGTCTTGTGGTTAGCAGGTGCCAACCCCAGGCCCCACCGGCCGACTGCAGGGAGGATGGGGGCCGCTCACCCTCCTTCCGCAGGCAGCGGGGCTGGGGTGCCATTCACCCACCTACCACACGCCCCCACCAGGCTGCAAGCGGGGCTGGGGGCCACTCACCCTCCTTCTGTACAAACCCCCCTGGAAGCACTTCTTGAGCCGGCAGGACTGGCACTGGTCACGCTGATGTTGGTCCATCTGACAGTCCCAATTGGACCTGCAGGTGTAGCAGTGTTAGAAGCCAATTGTCTAATGAATATACAGTGTGTGTGTTTTTAAAGCCTGATAATTTTAGACATAACTTTCTCCACGTTTTATATTTCTATATTTTAGTTTTCATGTATCCATTTGAAAGGCAGAGAGTAATTCTACTGTGTGTGTGGCAGGAACCCAATTCCTTGAGCCCTCCTGTGCTGCCTCCCAGCGTCTGCATTAGCAGGAAGTTGAAGACAGAAATGGAAACAACACTCAGAAGCCCTCATTCCATTGTAGCAAGGTTGTCTCAAGGGGATTCTTAACCACTTGGCCAAATGCTCGCTCCTGCTTACTACTTTTTAAACACCACTCTCTTACATTACATAGGCCCAGGATCACAAAAATTACCAATTCCAATGTTGGCAAAGCCAATGAAAATGGAGCTCTCACAAAGAAAATGAAAGCCAAGCAAATTATTTAATTAGAATTATTAGCTTGAATAAATAATACTTTGAGTTTCGTGTTTCATCAGGTTAGATAAGTGATGGATTTTCAATAGCAATATACACTGAACATAAAAAAGATGTACAAATATTTTCAACCATCAGTATTACACATTTGCAAAAGCAGTGGATGCTTGAATAGTTCTACAAAAATGTGTTCCAAAATCATGTGATTAATCTTTAAATAAAGGAAATGAATGTTTATCTCAATGAACCATTTCCAAAAGGGCAGAAATACAAAATAAAGCCCCTAACATGAACTGGATATGACAATAATTATCTTTGAAAATTCATTTTGTTTTAAGAACTGTTTCTGAAAACTATATTTTTTAAAAAGTAAACAATATTTTAATGGGGAATTACTAACCATGATATAATAAAATATTTTCTGGAATTCTTGATCACAGTTTGAAACCAGATTTAATTTAAAAAGTTACTAAAGGTGGGAAATAAGTCATACAAGAAAAACTTTTTAATTTTTAAATGTATCTATATCTTTAAGCATATCAAATGTCAAAATGAGATTATTGAGAAAACACATGGTAATAGAGAATTATTAGATTTATTTCAAAAATTCTTATTGAATTTTTATAGGCTCTCAAAACTTGATGTAGCAATCTATTTTTTCTGGGACCACTTTTGTTCCTTTGTCCACTCCTGTTAGCATTATTTGGCAAAAGTTGAACGTTGAGGTACACGTGAGAGAATTATTACTCAATTTTCCTGGCCAGTTTTAGGTAAGAAATCAGGAAACAACCACAACCACCACAACAAACACCACTTTCTCAAGAGCATTTGCAGATCAGTTCTGCAGACTTCAAACGTTTTCAGGTTTGGAATGTTTAGACTACCGCTCTCATGCTAAATTCTCAGTGGCTTTCTTTCTATTTCTGAATTGCTTTTTACAAACAGAATGCAGCATTAGGAACTGACAGCAAAATACACTGTTTCCCAGATGGTTCAAATAATAACTATGCCAATTGTTTGTATTTATATTGCAAACATCATATTTTCACCTAAGTATCACTTACCTCAAATGTTAACTGAATTGTTTTATAGAATTGTTTTTTAAGATTTATTTTCTTTGAAAGTCAGAGTTATTCTACAAAAAGAAATAGATATCTTCAATACAAGCATAATTTTTATTCCTTCAAGTGATAGAGAAGTATGTTTTGTACCTTCAATTTGAACAGGATCTCCCCAAAATTAGATATATTGTTTACCAGTGTGATAAAATGTATTTCACAAAGAGAAAATATGATACAAAAATATAATTTACTTTATTTCTTGAATACTCATATATGTCTTTCTAGACTAAGAATAGAATCAACATGTTTTTGTCAATCTAATCATTCTGAAACAAAATCAAATAATGAGTAATTTGGAAATGTTTATGAATTATTTTTCTGTTTATTTCTATGGGGGAAGGAGGAATGATGGTAATGTTTCCAAATTCTTCTGGTTAAATGTGGAACAGTTAAAAAATAACATGATATAGTTGTAAGTAGGTCTTAGGCAAAAAATGCATGTGCAACCATGCATGACATGAAATGTATTAAGTTAATACAATCCTTGACTTTTTTTTTTTAACAGGCAGAGTGGACAGTGAGAGAGAGAGACAGAGAGAAAGGTCTTTCTTTTTCCGTTGGTTCACCCCCACAGTAGCCGGGATCCAGGTGCTTCTCCTGGTCTCCTGGGCGGGTGCAGGGCCCAAGCACTTGGACCATCCTCCACTGCCTTCCTGGGCCATAGCAGAGAGCTGAACAGGAAGAGGAGCAACCAGGACAGAACTGGCACCCTGACTGGGACTAGAACCCGGTGTGCTGGCACTGCAGGTGGAGGATTAGCCTATTGAGCCACAGCGCCAGCCTATAGTCATTGACTTCTGATACCTGTGGTGTCCATTCCAATGAAGATTCTGATTGGCTAGCTCATGGTAACATCAAGGACTCTGGTTGGTGTGACTTTAAAACAACTATTGGATTGATTCACATATGTTAAACATAAATTTTAAAATATATGACTACTTTACTTATTAGTTGTGGCAGTTAGTGTTACCTGTTCCCTTTTATCTTTGCTTTGTAAAACACACAAAAACATTAATTTGCCATATTCTTCAAATTAAGAAAATGGTTTACTGTATGATGATGTTTAGATTCTCTTTGATCACCCAAGGATTGATTTTTTTCTTGCCATAATAAATCTACAAATGAAAACCTGTGACTAATTAATGATCTTGATCTAAATTAGCACAGAGCAGATGAGTCTGGGGCACTCTTAGATATGAATATTAAAATCTATAGAAATTAAAGAAATTACAATGGGGAGACCAAAATTATTTATAAAGGATCATTTATTAAACATTTTTCACAAAATACAAAGATGGTTGTTCTGCAAGAATACATCACATATTAAAAAATAATGTGTTTTTACTGAATTTAATTTGAAGACGTTCAGAATTGTTTTGTCTATCCCCTTGGGGAGCCCATTTGGCTTTGCTCCTTGTCTGACACCATTTCTAAGAAGGAAGAAACATTTTCTTGTTAATTAAGTGATATTCATAACAGCTTTAATTTTATAGAAATAAAATCAGGGGCGGGCGCCGCGGCTCACTAGGCTAATCCTCCGCCTAGCGGCGCCAGCACACCGGGTTCTAGTCCCAGTCGGGGTGCCGGATTCTGTCCCAGTTACCCCTCTTCCAGGCCAGCCCTCTGCTGTGGCCAGGGAGTGCAGTGGAGGATGGCCCAGGTGCTTGGGCCCTGCACCCCATGGGAGACCAGGAAAAGCACCTGGCTCCTGGCTCCTGCTATCGGATCAGCACGGTGCGCCGGCCGCAGCGCGCCGGCCGCGGTGGCCATTGGAGGGTGAACCAACGGCAAAGGAAGACCTTTCTCTCTGTCTCTCTCTCTCACTGTCCACTCTGCCTGTCAAAAAAATAAAATAAAATCAGACAGTGTCTGCCACAACAAAGCTCTCTCCACAAAGTAACTGATATGCCTATGATCCTATTTTTTTTTCAAGCTACAAGATAGGACGAATCAAGGAGGAGCTAGGTAAGTTGTATAATAACATATTAGCAGCAGTGATAGTAAATGCAACATAATGTTTGTTTTGTCTGTGGTACAAGAATATGTCATATCAGACTACTGTATGTTTCTCTACTTGTACACAAGTAAGTGCATACGGATTGTCTCAGAATGACACATGCATAAAAAGGCAGGAAGCTGGCCTGGCTGGCATTATCAGTGCCTATTTTCATCAGCTAATATGAATGAATTGCTAAAATTAGTGAAGACAGGAAAATGACTTAAGGATAATATATACAGAGTTAAACTGCATCCTTTTTTAAAAATCTATTTGAGTGATCTCAGGCACTTTTGCTGTTCAGGATAAAAGGTTTTATGTTTTATTCTTGATGGCGATTTCTCAGTGCAAGCAAAAGCAAATACCTGCCCACTGTCATAAACATGAACTCGTACATTTGAGAATTTAAAGCAAGTTCATCTTCAACGTTTTCACTCTGGAAGCATCTCGTGTAGAAATGTGTCATAATTTGTTCTTAGTACCCATTTAATTTTTCAGTTCAAGCAAAGGCAAACATACCTGCTCACTGTCATACACACAACCAAACATCTCTGGACTATTCAAAGAAAATTCACCTTCTGATTTTCATCATGGAAGCATCTTTGATAAGTGGCACTTCCTTCCTCTATAAATCATGCAAAACAGACCCATGATGCCTGAATTTAATAATATTAAAAATCATGGCCATGGCCATCTCTCTGTGTAAACTCTGTTGGGTAAGGCTTGCCATCATGGTGCTTCTTTCCTGAGAATGAAGCTGGTCCTGTCTGTGTGGATCATAAGTGTGCATGCTCTGAGCTGTGGTCACTGTTCTGGCTGTCTTCATTGTCCAGAGAGTCCCCTGTTTGCTGGAGCGTGGCCGCACCAATCCCTGACAGCTCTGAAGGGAGCAGGGTTCCTTTCTTCACGTTCACCAGTTCCTTTTCTCAGGCAGCAGTGCCCAGCTGGCCCAATTTTACCCTCTTCCACTTCATCCTCCTCTTCTGGAACCACACTTTCACCTTGGACAAAGAAAGGAAACACACGAAGCAAAACAGAACATTAAATTCAAGTGCTTTCTCCTTTTGGTCTACCTAGGAGAACCAGATTCTCAAAGGTTTACATGAAGACACCATGGAAGAGGGTAAATATAAAAATAATCCCACCCTGAGTTTAATCAGGTTGCATGTTTGTGATAATAATTTATAAACATTCAGAAGATGCACACAAATGATTACCTTTCATATTTAACAACAAAGGGAATTCATTGTAGTATTACCTCACAGTTTTTGCTTTATGGATTTAAAAATTAAAAATCACAATAATAAAGAGAAGTAGACAAGAAAGGGCTTATCATTCAAGATGTCTCCAAGGTATTTGGTTCTGCTCTTGCATGATAAACCTGTGATGGGACCTATGTGGATACGTAGTCAGGAGCTGCATTAATAGGTTGAATGTTATGTGAATGTTCATCTTAACACACTAATGTGAAAAAAAAAAAAACTGTTTTCCAAGGTTGTATCAGTTTAGTTTTCTTATTCATTCCAGGGCATAAAAGTTCAAGTTCACCCAAATCTTTGCCGGCATTTGGATTTACCAGGTTCAACTTTTTTTTTTTTTTTACAACACAATGACAATAAATGTTGTCTTACTGTGCTTTTATTTTGCCTTTCCTGTTTTCTAATGGAGTCAAGTATCTTTGAAGAGTTTAGGATCCAGAGTTGGTGTCCATGTCCCATGTTGGAGCACCAGGAGTCCTGGCTGCTCTGTGTCCAATTCGCTCCCTGCTGCTGCACCTGGGAAGTGCTGCCATTTGGGGAGTGAGCCGATGTATGGAAGGCCTCTCTCTCTCATTTCTCATAGATAAATTAACTTTGTTTTTTTAAAAAATAATGGCCCACTGTAGTGCTTCTATGAAATACCTCCCTGTATCTGGTATGAATTCTTTTTAAAATTAATCTTACTCTTTATGGACTTTAAAATGTGTGAGTCCTAATTTAATACCTTCAGTTGTATGGAAGCTACTATCTTCTCTGTTTGTGCCCTCCCCTTTTCTTGGAGTATTTGTTGATGATCAGAAGCTCTTAATGTATTTATATTTACACACTGTTTCTTTAATGGTTAGAGCTATTGAAGCATACTCTCTGCTGAGGCCACAAATGTATTCTACATCTTCCAAGAGTTTAAGGTTTGCATTTCAAATTGAACCTGTCAAACCAGGAAGTATTGATTTTAGTATACAGAGGAAAGCAAATGCTTCCATTTATTCTGTATGAATAACAAGTTGTTCTTGGGGCCGGTGCTGTGGTGCAGCGGGTTAACACCCTGGCCTTAAGCACCAGCATCCCATATGGTGCCAGTTCGAGACCTGGCTGCTCCACTTTTGATCCAGCTCTCTGCTGTGGCCTGCAAAAGCAGTAGAAGATGGCCCAAGTCCTTGGGCCCCTGTACCCATGGAGAAGATTGGGAAGAAGCTCCTGGCTCCTGGCTTCGAATCAGTGCAGCTCCAGCCATTGCAGTCAACTGGGAAGTGAACCAGTGGATGGAAGACCTCTTTCGCTCTCTCTCTGCCTCCCCTCTCTCTGTGTAACTTTCAAATAAATAAATATTTAAAAAGAACAAGTTGTTCTAGGTAGCTTTTTACAAAAGTCACCATTTTCTCAGTGATCACTGTTTCAATTCCATCATCAATAAAGCTTCCATGTAGAAAGTGGCTTCAAAAAGCTCACAGAGAGCCGGCGCCGTGGCTCAATAGGCTAATCCTCCACCTTGTGGCGCCGGCACACCGGGTTCTAGTCCCGGTTGGGGCGCCAGATTCTGTCCCGGTTGCCCCTCTTCCAGGCCAGCTCTCTGCTATGGCCAGGGAGTGCAGTGGAGGATGGCCCAGGTGCTTGGGCCCTGCACCCCATGGGAGACCAGGAAAAGCACCTGGCTCCTGGCTCCTGCCAGGATCAGCGCGGTGCGCCGGCTGCAGCGGCGGCCATTGGAGGGTGAACCAGCTGCAAAGGAAGACCTTTCTCTCTCTCACTGTCCACTCTGCCTGTCAAAAAAAAAAAAAAAAACTCACAGAAAATGGAATTAAATGATAACTTCATGTGCTCCAAGAGGTTTCTGAGGGTTTTTTTTTTCAAGATTTATTTTATTTATTTGAAAGTTATGCTATGGAGACAGAAAGAGAAACAGAGAAAGAGAAAAATCTTCCATCTGCTAGTTCACTCCCCCAGTCAGATGAGCCCACAACCACGTCTGGGTCTCCCATGTGGGTGGCAGGGAGTAAGTACTCAGGGCATTGTCTGCTGCTCTCCCAGGTGCATTAGAAGGGAGTTGAATCTGAAGCAGAGCAGCCAGAATTCAGACTGGTGCTCCACATGGGATGCTGGTGTTATAAATAGAGGCTCAGTGCCCTGCACAACATCGCTGGCCCCATCCATGAGCTTTTGAAGGCCTCTCATATGCACAGCTTTCTGCTCTACTCTGTTCTGTCCCTGGGTCAGTTTTTACCTGTGAGAACATCATATTTTCATTCTTGCTGTAATTTTATACCAGATCTTTGTATCTGATAGGGACAGGTCTGCTTCACCACCAAATATATTTCATTCTTCTACACCAAATGTATTCTGAATGTTCTGCATTTTCTTTTTCTTTTTTTTTTTTTTTGACAGGCAGAGTGGACAGAGAGACAGAGAGAAAGGTCTTCATTTGCCATTGGTTCACCCTCCAATGGCTGCCATGGCCGGCCGGTGTACCACACTGATCCGAAGCCAGGAGCCAGGTGCTTCTCCTGGTCTCCCATGGGGTGCAGGGCCCAAGGACTTGGGCCATCCTCCACTGCACTCCCTGGCCACAGCAGAGAGCTGGCCTGGAAGAGGGGCAACCGGGACAGAATCCGGCACCCCGACCGGAACTAGAACCCAGTGTGCCAGCGCTGATAGGTGGAGGATTAGCCTACTGAGCTGCGGTGCTGGCCTCTGCATTTTCATATTTGAAATAATCTCAATTTCTGTGAATACACAGTGCCAGTGGGAATGTGATGAGAAATAACTCAAATTTCCAAAGACATACTTATATCTGCAACCTTCAAATCACATGATTCATAAAAGTTAGTATAAATTCCTTAGACATTTACACAATTAAATATTGAAATTGAGATGATTCTTAACTAGGGATTGTCACTGCTTTCACTGCTGGGCTCAATTAACATCATGTCTCATTTATTACCTATCTATACACTCTAGTCCATTTGACAAAAATAATACAATATAGTAAAAATTTGATTTAAAGTTCAGTGGTGAGGGGCCAGCACTATGGCATAGCATGTAAAGCCGCCACCTGAAGTGCCAACATCCCACATGGGTGCCAGTTCAAGTCCTGGTCACTCCAATTACAATTCAGCTCTCTGCTATGGCCTGAGAAAGCAGTGGAAGATGGCCCAAGTTGTTGGGCCCTGCACCCATGTGGGAGACCCAGAAGAAAATCCAGACTCCTGGCTTCAGATTGGCTCAGCTCTGGCCATTGCTGCCATTTGGGGAGTGAAATAGCAGATGGAAGACCTCTCTCTCTCTCTCTCTCCCTCCCTCCCTCCCTCCCTATCTCTCTCCCTCTTTCTCTCTCTCTCAGCCTCTCTGTAACTCTCTGCCTTTCAAATAAATAAATAAATCTTTAAAAATATTTGATGAGAACTGACATATTATTACTGCTTACTACTCATAAGGATCACTGCATGCATCATATTACAGCATATATGCTACATGTGCTTTATTTCTAATACACTTTCCCCTCATGTTGTGAACATTATTTCTATGTTATAAATGAGACAATTGAGGTAAAGTTTATATGAAAATGACACAGATGGAAACTCTAACCCCAGGATTTAATTTGACACCAGGATTTAAACACCTATGTCTTTATCTGGCTCCAGAATTGGGGTTTGGTTTTTTTTATTTGAATTCTATCTCAAACTCCTGTTTTTAGAGCATTCAGAATAAGAAGGTAAAGTACAGGATTGTGAAATGTGTGAGTACCATCCATATGGTGACTCTCATTGACATAATTCCTCCACTTGCTGTGACTGGGTTGGTAAATGGGGCACTATTTTCCTGCCCTGTACTTTAGGTAATTACACTACTCAGTCTAATCAACATGTGAGCTTGACAGTGCAGGTTGCATTAGATCTGTTGCACATGAGCTGGGTACTACTCTTGGCTTCACTTCTGAGTTTTTGTGTGAATTTGGGAAAACCACACTTTTCTCTGTCTCAATTTTCATATTTCTGATATTGGAATAATGAGGCTTTCAAGTTTCTCCATAGGGATATTTTCTCCATTGACCATTCCAGATGGAAACAAAAAACAACACGTAAGTCATCATCATAATCACTGTCACCAAGACTGAAACGTTCATGCAAAATAATCTTGACAGGAAACAAAAACGGGAGGAATAGAGTTATTGAAATCCATGTTTATGTTCTTCTCTAGAAGAGGAGGTACAGTAATTCTGTAATACCAGCATCCATCTGTCATGTGCAATTTCATGTGAGAAAATTCTAAGAAGAAGGTATGGATTTTAGGAATACGACTTTGTATTTAAAAGAAAGTATGTCTGTTGGTTTTCTTTCTCACCATATGACATTTTACCATTTTATTTTTAAAAATTATTTGTTTTTATTCATTTGAAAGGCAGAATGAGACAGTGAGAGTGAAAGAGATTATCTTCCATCTGTTGGTTCACTCCCCATAACCACAGGAGCCAGGAGTGGGCCATACCATAGTCAAGAGCCAAGAACTCCACCTGGGTCTCCCACCTGGGTGATAGGGACCCAAGTAATTCAGCCATCAACTGATGCCTCCCAGGGTGAGCATTAGCAGGAAGTTGTATAGGAAGTGGAGGTGTTACTGGAATCCAGGCACTTTGCACATTTGCATTTAATGTGTATAATATCTGGTCTCCTAGGCTTTACATTAGAGAAGAAAACAAATTATATATGAATCTATAGTGTCTCATAATTTCCTAAGGTGGCCACAGT